TTTTTTTTTTTGCGGTGTAGCTGCTTGTGTGCCTTTTTTTCTCTCCAGCATTCATATCTGATCCGGTGATATGTAATATATACTTATTAAGCAATAAAGGTGCCAATCGTGCTTACTTCATCGAAACAGCCGAGACTCCACTCTCCAGTTTAGTTCGCTGTGTTTCTCATTATTCTCAACATCTCGCTCATCTTCGGTTGCCGCATACGGCACCGCACGGCTACTTGTGGAAAGCTCCACGGGTAGCTGTGTCGAGAACGGGGAGTCGTGGAGTGGCCTGAGAAAACCATTCAAAAGCCAGAGGAAAGATCGACTGAGAGCAAAGCCCAGAGTGAGTCCTGTTGCTGAGTACTGCACTCCTCCCATGGAAGTACCTCAGCGGGCCGGCAAATTGCAGGTAGAGGCTCTGCTGGACTTCACCGAAGTCTCAAGTGAGGTGAGATACCAGGGCCGAGTGTTATGGATTTTCGGGGCTGGCATGTGGGGCGAGGGAGTGTGGTTGCAGTCAGGGTTGATTGCGAGTCCTCGTCACGCCAACCGATCAGACTCGTTTCTTCTGGCCATTTGGGCGGTCGAAGGTCAGCCAGGTTCTCTGCTGTGTTAGCGCCCTTTGTTTTCCATGTGCGAGGATTCTGTGAGGTTGTGCTGCTGCGGGTACTGCCAACAATCAAATTTGGTGAAAGAAGGTGGTGGCAGTTGGAGACAGAGGCAAGTTTGCCGTGTTCACGCGCACGCTCACACTGCATTCTCATTGAGATGTTCAGGAAAGTGCGTTTGATACATGTGCATTGTTACTGTAATTGTATTTTGCGAGGGCATTACATAAATTTACGGATGAGAAGATGGCGAGGAAGCTGACGGTTTGAGGATAAGGACAGCAAGGGGGCATGCAAGGGGTGGGGAGTAGTTTTGGATGCGCCAGTAGCCTAGTGACCTAGATAATCGAAACTCCCTCCCTGCCCCCTCAGCGGACTCATCCCGATATGACCCAGTGAAGTTGATTGTTAAACGACTTTGACAGAATGACATGACACGGGGCAATAGGGCAGTAGCACCTTTTGCAACCTTTTGACATCCACTGATAACCTCTTGACTTATTAGTTCTTAAATTTCCCTTCAGGAAAGTGCCCTACCTCCTCAGTCTCCTTTTCCCCTTCACGTATCCATTTCCTCGCATTCGCTTATTTTAAGTTTTGATATCTGGAAAATTTCCAGTAAACTATGTGGCATATGACATCAGCGGAATTTGATGTAGTACACTTTCCGGGCAGCAACCTGTGCCGAATTTTTATTCATTCTGTTTCGACTGAACGTTGGGGATTAGCAAGACTCGAGCGTCTCGGAATGGAAGTGCTGACCCTGGAACCACGCTGACTGCATGAGCTGTCCATCTGGCAGTGTGTGACTGCTGTTTGCAAGGCACCATTACTGTTATTTTCAGTTACCTGCAACTGGAAAAAGGCTTTCGGTTTTGATTTTGGAGGAATCTTCCCAGTATTGTGGAACTTCTCAAAGTAGGGGCCCGGATTTTCTCGATCCCTAGCCCGGATTCGCAAATTGGATTCAGATGAATACCAAAGCTAAATAGAAATTGCGTAAAATTCTCAGCTCTTCAGTATTTCTTGTAAGTTCTGAAAAACAAGAAAGGCATCATATCCACGAAATAAGCTGAGCAAGTGGAAAACTTTCTTCATAGAACTCAATGTTATTTCACTTCTACTTAGCTTTTGCTGATGTGGTACTAAAATTCTCATATCTGAGTAATTAAGAGAGCTACTGTTCCAGAAGTACATAAAATGTTCAACATTTCGAACTGAAAAACTTGCATTATTCCGGACTGATCACCTTTGTGCTTCGAAGAGCCGCTGGCGAAGTACAATGCTTTAGAATTTCTCTTTCGAAATTGGAGAAAGGAAGCAGAAAAACGTACTCTGCAGTTATAAGCAGGTTGGCCATAAGACAGTTCAGTCAGGAATCCCCGCGAAAAGCACTGGATGTGTTGACTCCGCGAAAGCTTGCACGGTGAAGGAACAACACCCGGTCAAAATACCAAAATCTTCGAATAAAAGTCATCTTGCTGAGGCGACAGTCGGTGTAAAAAATTTTTTGCAGTGCGCTGAAAGTTTTTTTGCAATTGCTTAAATAAAAGTATTTTTTCAGAAGCACTTTTTCATAAAGAAATGCTGGCTAATTTGATGCTGCACGAGCAAATGGTGCAACAAAAGTAATATTTATGAGGGGGTTATCGAAAAATCAAGGTATTGTAAGTGACGTTACAGAATGCTTCAGTGCACAGGCCTCC